ACAGGAATTATCAGTAAACATCTCAAAGACTAACCATAACCTTAGTTATACTAGTTAAATAAACCATGATATAATAATATTTTATCATTATTAGCAATAGCAATGATCATTCATCTGATAAACTTACTATTGCCAGCACTGTTATATTACTTTACATGTTTTAACAGATATTATCTTCACAATAAACCTATGAAGTAAGCACTATTATTGCCCCAACTGACAAATGAGAAAACTATGGGGAAAAGTCACATACATGTATACATTACCAAAGACTTAAAGAAAAAATACATCGGGGAGAGAAAACTTGTCCAAGGTCAAATAGCTAGTGTAAGTGGCAGAGCATTGGATTTGAAATTCAGAAGTCTGGTTCTATAGAGTTCTCTACACTGTACTGTTTTTCATATAGATCTAAGTGACAAAATATCATATACCTATTTAAAAATAAGAGAAAAAAGGTACAAAACTCATACAGTAGCACAATGTCACATAAAATGATTACAACTCTATTTTAGAAAATTACATACATATGTACATTAAAAAACTAGAAGAGGGGCTGGTGTTGTGGCTCAGCGGTAGTGAGCTCACCTAGCACATGCAAGGTCCTGGATTCCATCCTCAGCACAACATAAAAATAAATAAATAAAATAAAGATATTGTGTCAACAATAAATATTAAAAAAAACTAGAAGAAAAAAATCACAAAATATTAATAGTGGCTATCTGAGTGATGAGATTATGATGACTTAATTTTTTCAATGTATCTCTTGATATTTGTAGACTTCTGTTTCTGTTCTAAGGATGGGATTAATAGCACATCATAATTCTATCAAAAGGAAGTGTAAGTACAATATATCCCCTATATATAATTCCTCCTTCTAGATACAATGAAGCATTTTTACTGTTTCAATAAAAATGAATCATTAACTTTCATTTACATACCATGAGTTGCACTTCCTCCAAAAAATATTTTAAATATTTTAGTATCTTTCTACTAAAAAACAAACACCAATTTGGGCACACATCTGTAATTCCAGCAACACAGGAGACTGAGGCAGGAAGATCACAAGTTTGAGATCAGCCTTAGCAACTTAGCAAGGCCCTAGGTAACTTGGCAAGATCCTGTCTCAAAATCAAAAATAAAAAGAGCTAGGAATGAGGCTCAGTGGTTAAGTGAGCCTGGGCTCAACTCCCAGTACAAAGAAAAAACAAAACCAAAAATAAGCAGCTTAATAAGAAGGGCATCAAGGTGTTGTGAGATTTCCTGGGAGACTTCCCCTACAGCTAACTACATTTTCAAGTTAATAAACTCTGTAGTAAAGCAGATTATTTCAAAGAATACCTTCTTTGTCAATCTTTCGGTAATGAAACAAACAAAAGAGCCTCAGGAAAAAAATAAAATAAAAAGATGAGGGGAAAAAAGAGCCTCAGAAAAACCAATTCAAGCAAACAGACACAGACATACACACACACACTGAGGATTTAAGTGTGTGGGGGGGGCGCTTTGCCACTGAGCCACATCTCCAGCCCTCCTTTATTTTTCTCTTTTTTCTTCTCTAGACGGGATCTCATTAACTGGCTTAGGGCCTCACTAAATTGATGAGGCTGGTCTCAAACTTGCAATCCTGGCTCAGCCTCCCAATTTCCAGGGATTACAAAAGTGTGCCACTGTGCCCGGCTCATGCAACAATTTTTAAACACCTAAAACATTAACCAAATTTTAAAAAGTCTTAATCAGAGAAATACTACTCATGTTTACATATTTTATATGTACATATATATATATAACTGACATGTGCTTGTTTCCTGTCTATATTGTAATAGTAATTTTTAATTTTTCCAAATAAAGTTGAAATAATTTTGTACATGCTTTTCAACACATATATCCTCAGCAATGATCACCAGTAATTTCATACACACACAGGCCAATTTTTCTTTTCTACCTGATCTTATATAGAACATTCCGTTTGAGATATGTTACATATTCAGGGTTATTATCAACTATGAAAGTATTTTTCATCATTGCATCTACATGTTAAGTCTTAATTTATAAGAGGAAACAGATTAACATAAAAACTGAGAAGTAATTGCTAAATTTTATAGAAAAAGCTCAGCAAATATAAAATAGAATTTCAAGACTACCTGAATTCAGTCTCTCCTGTAGTGTAATCTTGGAACTAAACTACGATTTGTTTTACTTAGTATTATTACATTTTAATTCACAAAGTAGCATAAAACCAAATGCAAGAAGCAAGTCCAATAAAAAATGATCAGAATGAAATTAAATCAAACTTTAAGATGTGATCTTTAAAAGAAAAACATATTGCATTGAAAGGTAGAAATTTCTATCAGAATTACCTTTTTTAAAAATGTTTTCTTCAAAATAATTGTCATTCAAGCCATCACTTCCATTCAAGCATTTTTTTTTTAACTTGGTTTTCATGGAAATAAAGCCTATAGGAAACTTTTTTTTTTTTAATTATACCACTTATTATTCAGTTTCTAAAAGTAATTTTGATTAACAATTATGCCTGCTGAACAGATCTGAGTATGTGTATATGTATATAGTGTATATAGTGTTACATATAAATGTCTTATATGAAAACTATACATGTGAATTTTTTTAATAAAGCAGCTAAACTGGGAAGAAAACAATCCCTTATAAATATCCCTTATTTTTAAGGAACATCATGCTAACTTTAACATATGTGAATATACAGTACCCAAATCCACTTATACAAAATTATCTTACTATTGTTAATTAAAATCACATAAAAAATTAAACCATGCCACAAAAATATTCCAGTTTCCCTAGCAGTTCTTTTTAAGTCAGTTGCAGTTCATTTTCAGAATTTTGAGGGGACAACTTTACGTACTATGGAACAGGTTTTCACTTTCCTCTCATTGTTTTGTGCTAATTATTACTAAGCATTCAATGTGGCAGCATTCATTAAGGGGCTGAGGTTGTGGCTCAATGGTAGAGCGCCTGCCAGGCACTTGTGAGGCCCTGGGTTTGAATCTCAGCACCATGTATAAATAAATAATATTAAGGTCCACTGAGAACTTAAAAAAAAAAAAAAAAAAACCCCGCAGTTAACTGAAGGGAAAAATTCAAATTCCCAGAGACTATCCTCAGTGTCTACCAGAAAATGCTAAAGGTACCTCCACCCAGGAGGCTTTATCATCAGAATGGTAAGACAGTTCATAGGTATGTATTTCCAATAATCTGCATATGACTTTAAAAATGAAAGTTTTTAATTAAGGCATGCTTCACTGATTTTTTAAAAGAAAACTAAGAATTTTCATTGAGGAAAATCATCAACTGTTTTATGTTTGATCTGAAAAAGTCAAAAAATCTGAAGTGGATCAACATGAAGCCTTTTACTTTAACCAATCCACCAAAAGAATGCTACTCAGGATGGCCTTACTTTGTTATTTTTAATGAATACTAAGTTCTCTCTAATCCATAAAGTCAACAGACAATGAGCTGGCATCTAAAGTTTCATATTCACAAGCCTTCTGTCCATCTGGACGCTAGGTTAACTGATGATGAACAAAGATATTATCACATGAGTGATAAACTAAATATTTGCAAGTAACAAGTGTCACCTGCAACTAAATTAAGTAGCAAAACTGACGTCTAATTCTCTCTTAAGCACTCTCCTTAGGATTTTCTTACCTCTCCAAATTACAAACCTAGAACCAAAAGCATTCTAAGTTTAAAATTAAAGCATTCCAATGATTTGTTATTTTATCTAAACTCACTCACTCTAATGTTATAAATCTTAGATGTCCATTTTCAAGATTTGTTAAAGATAATCATTTTCATCAATATGTACATTTACATACCTATTAATATCTCTGTACCTAATGCTTAATGATTTTTACAAAATAGAAAAGGAGCCAATGGACAGATAGCGTAAGAAGCTTTATTGAATTCTAATTTTGGTACTTTACACCACATATCCTTCCAACTAAAGCATCGATTAGATGTCATTTTTATAAGTGAAAAGTAGCTATAACACAAATAAGCAAAATCACAAGTGAGTGTTTCTTAATAACTAATCTGCATTTTGAGCACAACAAAGCTGGAATCTACAGCTCAATATAGAGAAATAGAAATGAAATCAAATCAGTATAAAATTTTACCCTTATTTAAAGGCATAAAGCAGATATTTGAATGGCTAATGTATTGACAAGGTTTTCAATTATACGACTCTGAAAATTAATTATTTAATAATTCATGTGTACATTTATAGATATATAAACAGGAAAAAGGGATATACTTTATCCAGTTATTATCTGATATTAATATAGAGCCATGATATCCTCAGAGTATTGTATTTAGAACTATAATAAATTCTATTAAAAATRTTGGACATTGTAAAATGTAGAATACCTCAGAGAGATAATTTTTAGTAACTGACCATTAGAAAGCACTTTTGCCTTTTCTATATATAGCATATTCAAAGAAATCAAAGGGTATTTTTTGTGGGGGGAGGTGTGCTGGGGATTGACCCCAGGGGCACTTTACCATTGAGCTACATCTTCAACCCTTTTTATTTTTTGTTTTGAGACAGGGTCTCACTAAATTGCTTATGTTGGCCTCAAAGTTGAGATCCTTCTGCCTCAACCTTCCAAGTTGCTGGAATTATAGGTGAGCCCCACCACACCGGGCCTAAACAATTAAAAAAAAAATTCTCATATGGTACAAATGCTTGGGAAAAACTGTCAAAATAATTTTTAAGAGAATACTAAAGTATAAACTTATTAATATATTAACTACCTACTAATAATGGATATGCTCAAAATAAAACGCAGAGTAAGAAGTAGAAACAGACAACAAAAAAGCAAAAAACTTAAATTTTCCTTACACATTGGGCAAACATGGTGCTCTTATGCATAGTTCCAAAATGAATCTATCTCAAGAAAGAAGTGCAATCATCATCCATTATCTGCTGCATTAAAGTTTTGTATAACCAAGATTACATAAGGCCTGCATACCAAGTTCATCCTGCAAACTGCTACCGCCTACAGCAGATGCATTGTCATGTGATGCTTCTAAGTGGACACTCCCATTTCTCACCAGCAATGAGGCACTAGCACTGAGCACTGCAGCCTGGGAAGGGGGGCGGGACTGGATTTTGACCTGGGCTGTGGACTGCTGGCCTTGCTGACCATCTTGAAGGCTAGGAGAAAACATGGATTGGGGAGACATTACAGGGAAGAAAAGAGAAAATAGCTAGAATGAAATCAATATAGAAAACTGATTTCAAAAAGACACTTTTCAATGTAACCTAAGAAAGAACCAACTTTGTAAAATATAGAGATTACACTGCCAGCTTAAATGTTCTGGTCCTTATCAGTTTGATTTGTAGTGATTAATGCACTAAACATTTAATATATATGTAAATTGCTCAATCTGCAACTTTCTTCTACTTCAAGTCAAATAAATTCTAGTGTAAGGGAAACAAAAAGCAACAGAGTTGTGAGCACATTCACCATATGTGTCAGTTAAATATGCACTTTTATTTATAATCTCATAACAATTCTAAAATTTTCTTTAAAACATTCTGGGGTCTCAATTTTATAAAACAAAGTCTCTATGCACTTGAAAACCAAAGAATCTTAACAAATGCAACCAAGACAACAATTTTGAATAAAAAAAAAAAATCACAAACTAGTGGAAAAGAACAGGAAAAACTCATTCAAACAAGTGAAACACAAATGACCATCAGGATATTGACAGAAGCAGAATAAATATAAAGTATTACCTATAAAAAGCCTACATATTTCTAAAATAACATGCTTAGTATCTAAGGAGGTAGTTAACAATAATCTTTATTTCCTTTTTAATCTGTTTTGTAGTCCATCATTTTAGAAAATATATTTTGGAAACCTGTAATTTCATGGGATGTTCTATCTTTTCTAAATTCCATAAAGGTTTTTGTTATAATATTTAGTATTTAGTATAAAGTTATTAAAATTATTTATAAAATTTTCTATATCATTCTTGTATTTTTATAAGTTTATTTAGATAATGTGAATTTTAAGGCTCATATAATATCTAAACAAATTTAAACTGATGAAATTCATGAAAACATTTTAATTATAATTATTAGATTATTCTCAATGAAATACCGCTTATTCTTCAATGAAACACTGTATTCCGTTAATCTGAGCTGACTTTGAACAATCCCAAGAGTCTGCTTCTAAAATTATTAGACCTCTAGAACAAAAAGAATGCTATTCAGGATGGCCTTATTTTGTTATTTTTAATGAATACCAAGTTCTCTCTAATCCCTTAAATTCAACATAATAGTTTCTCTGATGCCTATAAAACAAACTTATCTACTACAGATGGACCATGAAATAAAAGGCTAACTAAAAATATTTTAGTCTGTGGCTATGTCAACAGAATATTCTGGAACTGCATTGTCTGATATAGTAGCCAGGAACTATTTAAATTAATTAAAATTTAATTTTCTCAGTAATACAAACCATATTTCAATTGCTCAATCACATAACATAGCCATTGGCTAACAAAGTGGGCAGTAGTTAGTATTTAGTGTCTACTACATTGGACAGTGCAGATTACAGAATATTTCTACCATCACAGAAAGTTATATTGACTAGCAACATTCACATTTCAGGCTTGTTTTAGCATCACTGAAGGGTACATGTTCTGAGCACAACATAAGAACGCACACAACATATAAGAAAAATCACATCTGCAAAATTTTGACTTATAAATCCTTACTGGCATAATTAAGCCATAACTWCAAAAGGATTTATGAAATAACTTGTTTGGACTAGAAATTTCATATAATACATATAAATCAAGACATGATCTGGAGATAAGTGTTTTATCTTCCATACATATATAATGCATCTGATACTCTTCCTCAAAAGCTATCTAAACTTATTCACAAACCTTACCAAGCTGAACAAGTTTCACAAGAGAAAAATAGCAAGGAAAAATATCTAAGTAGTTTAAATACTGTGTCCTTTTAGATTCAAAAGAGCCAAATTTTATGGGAATTGTAGTCAACAAGTTTTTCTAGTAATTTTTCATATAGTCATAAGCAAAGGTGGTTAGTACAGTTAGATGTATTTCTATATAAACACATTTCAGAATATTTGAATCTTGAACCCAGATGTACAATGTATAACCAAGTTTATAAAATGTTTTCAAAATATCAGGCAGTTGATTTTTATCAACTCCAGAATAAAGAATTAAAAGAAATGACAAATTCTATAAGATAATAAATATTGAGTTTAAAAGGTAGTAATAAAATATTTATTTCCCTTGAGTTTCTATTTTTAAAACTCCTCAACAAGAAAAAGTCTGTCACTTTTGCAAAAATTGTCAAAAAACATAATCCTGATGGGTTGCATTTCATTTCAAACTAATAACTGGCATAAATGTATCTTCTTTACAGTTCCAATTATATAATAAAACTAGCTGTTTGAAAAAAGGTAGCAACTACTTTACAACATAGCAAAAGGTAGAAATTTAAGTGTTTAATTATTGGCTACCACTAGTATCACTGATATACAATCATGCTAATTAACATTTCCAGTTTAAATGAAGAATAATTGGTCTTGTTCTTTCTTCTTCTGTAGCACTGAAGTGATAGTGATAGCACATCCTTTCTTGTACTGTCAGTTAGTTTTGTATGTGCTATCTAAATAAAAATGTAAACTCTAAGAGTGTGACTCCATAATCCCTCTCAATCTCCAGATTCCAGAGAAAAGAATATCTTCAACGTAATACATAAGTATCTGATGAATTCTTTTCTGAGCACAAAACAACCTTCATAAATTTCTAACAATGAACTCTCAAATATAACTGTGATCTTATTTTTTGCCACTCATCTTTCAGTCTTATATTTCAAAAAGTAACATTTAGGTTAATACAGAATTCTTAATATTTGTCTTCTAATATTTTTAAATATTTACCTTTGTTTTTAGCTCTACTGGCTAGGAACAATTGGCAAGGATCTCTAAAACCTACATATAGGCTAATTTTTCTAAAAAGCTGTAAAAATAGTTCTGGAAGAGTTTATTCTAATAAGCATATTTTAAAAATGCAAATTCTGTTTGTGAGAAAATTCATGATTCACTCCCAAACCATGTAAACAGATTTTACCACATTGCTTTTTGGATGGCTCATTATAAACTATTCATTGAAATTTAAAATAAATTATAGTAGTCTCCCTTTATCTAAAGTGTGTGTGGGGTGTGTGTGTGTGTGTGTGTGTGTGTGTGTATGTGTGTGTTGTGCTCCCACCACCCTACCCACTACTTCCTGTGGTGCCCTGCAGTTCTAGAGAACCACGATCAACAGCAATCTGAAAAAAGTAAATGGAATTCCAGAAATAAACAATTTTTAAGTTTTAAATACCTTTTATAATAACATATAATATATTGTTATCATTCCTAGTTTATTATGTTATCATTAATTTCTTTCTTTCTTTCTTCCTTTCTTGGTGGTACTATGGGTTAAATACAAGGGTGTTCTACCACTGAATATACCAGCCCTTTGTTTTAAAATTGGAGATGGGGGTCTCATTAAGTTGCTACGGGTGGCCTTGAATTCGAAATCCTCCTGCATTGGCCTGCATCTGCATTGCTCAGGTTAAAGTCATGTAACACTGAACCCAGTTTGGTAGCAATTTCTTACTGTAGTGAACATAAATATATTTGTACTGTTGATATACACAGGGTTTAGTACCATCTGATGATTTTAGTACCATCTGATGATTCAGGTTATCCACTGGAGGAACATTTTCCCTACAGATAAGAGTATAGTAAATTTTACTAGTATTTATATAGTAGTTGTAATGAAAGCATTGCCACATATATTCTATCCCTTTTTGGCAAATAAGTTTGCCATCTTTGAAATGACCATGCCATCCTATACTTATTTAAAGATGAGATTATTATTTGAGAGCTTATACCAAAAAAAAACAATACTTTCCTTTAATATTTTTATGATTACAAAAGATTATTTTAATAAGTTGGTATTTTTTCCTAATTCCTCTCCGTTAAATTTTATTTCACTTCACTCGTGAGGAAGAGTGAAGTCAGCTTATTTACGACATATATGCAACCTTTGTATTGAAAATATCCTGGAACTTGAACAAAAACTACATGCTGACTAGTATAAGATTACTTTCTAAAAATTCTAGTATGATGTCTTTAGAAGTTCTATGCCATACGCTAGATGTGATTAATACATTTAAAGCCTTGGGAAAATATTATGTGAATGTTTGGAGTTGTAACGGTAAATCTAATATTCCACCAGGCACGAGAAAAAACTATAATTTGTCTGCATTTGTTTGATGAGTTTCAGCAGGTTCATTTGTAGCAAAGAATGAAAGAATTTTTAGTCTTACAGAGGTTAATTAAATGTTTAAGAAATAGAAACATGGTGTGAGTAACAAGGCAAAGAAGTTATCAATGGCAGTATTATTTAAGGGGCTTTTTGAAAGGTTAAGAAACAAATCTTTTTTAAAAAATTAAGAAAATGCTCACCTCTTTCTGCATGTTGACGCTACGCCCAAAATTCACTAGCAGAAGGAAAAGTTCCCTCAGGAAGAAAAGAAGGTAAAAGGAAATAGAAGTGGGGTGCTCACAAAAAGCAAAGGTTTCTAGAATAAATATTTCTTTTAAATTGGTTGCCTTCCCACTTCTACATTTTAGATGTTGGTTTAGCCAATAACAAGTTTTTATAAATTTATCTACTGTTGGGCTGAGATTGTGGCTCAGCAGTAGAGCACTCGCCTAGCACATACCAGGCCCTGGATTCGATACTCAGGACCACATAAAAATAAATAAACAAAATAAAGGTATTGTGTACAACTAAAAAATATATATATTTTTTTAATTTATCTACTGTTAAAGGGATTAGGATCATGATCTATGAGAGATGAAGCTTCTTCCTCTAATAAAAAAAAAATCTAGAAAAAGAATCAAATCTTAAATCTCAAGGGACTTTACAAAATGAAACATTTTAAAGAAACAAGATTCTGCTACTCCCAAAGAAAATTTTTTTAAAGGAAGGGCTTATCTCTTCTCATCTATCATGTACGTGACAGAAGTTATTTCATCAAATGTTCTTCATTCTTACAATGTGAAAAGAAAGTAATTTATAAATTATGCTTTTGGACAGAGATTGATAAACATATATATGTAATTATGTCCATATTTGTCTTTTTAAAATAGAGCATAGCGTTTTGAATGGATTGTTACATTTTCCCCCCCAGTACTGGAAATTGAATTCAGGAGTGCTTTAACACTAAACTACATGTCCTTAGCCCTTTTCATTTTTTAATTTGAGAAAGGGTCTCTCTAAGTTGCTGAGTTTGACCTCAAACTTGAGATCCTTCTGCCTTGACCTCCCAAACTGCTGAAATTACAGGTGTACACCATAGTTCCCCACAAATTATTAAATTTCTAATTTAAGACATGAACTCATTAGATTTGAGATAATTAAGAAGAAAACACTTATTGAAATTTTAATGGAAAATAACCCCAATATTATATGAGTGGATGTTTTCTTATTTGGAAATATTGAAAAAATGTTTAATATGTTATTGGGGTTGAGAAATTAAATATAAATATACATAGAAATAAGGATATCCAATTGACCATACTTACATAAATATTTTAGTTGTTATTTATTAGGTTCTGGTGATTGTGAAATAAAAACCACTCAATTTTACACAATGTAAAACAATATATTTTAGTGAGATGAAACAAACTGACTTAAACTGAGGTCAGTTATCTGTTATTTCTCAACAAGCTCATCATTAGGTCTCATAATTTTTCTTATTAAACACTATCCAGATATTGGGAAAAGATGTTGTATTAATAGTATTAATTTGAAATATAAAAAAGAGGGAATGCTAATTTAAGATCTACTATTTACATTTCTAAAAGTGATTTTGCGATTTAAACTTGACAAAACCAATCTGATCATTTTTTTAAAAAAAAAAACAGTACAACATAAGGCATGCATAATGCAACAGGCTCATGGTTACATGCAGAGAAAGCCTAAGAGCTGAAACGTATAGAAGAGAAACAGAAAGAAAAGCAAAGCTCTTCAAGTGTTTCTTGGTTCCGAAAGAACAGGTTAGAAGATCTGTTGCATGCATGCTAACTTGGTGGAATTTTAAAATACCATACCTTAGGGGTGATCCGATGAGCAAGGTAGGAGGGGTAGGGTTACTCCCTGCATTGTGCCGGCGCCGTACTGCCTGGCGCCTAAATGTGCTGCGTTCACGGCGAAATGACACTGCCTCCTCGCTGGCCTGTGCTGCTGCATCAAGACAGACTTAGGTCAAATAGGAGCCTAGGTCAGAGATGTAAATAGCAGCTGACCCTGTCTTTCCCTTGACTTCCCACTTCTAGAGAACTTGTCTGCTTACTCGAAACTGTTTCTATCTATACAATTAGTGTATCATATCCAGCAGTCAACAAAAAAGTATCGTTTATTTAGAGTTAATTTGTTTTGAAAAATGTTTTGATCTACTATCTGCCTTCACCATTTCTCTTCAACTTCAATTTCCTACTATGAGATCTATGTTGCTTTAAATCTTTTCCTGAAAGTCTCATTTATTTTTGTTCATGTTCCTCTACTCTCCCTTTAATTAAGTCAGCTCTTTTAGTGTTTGTTAGTTTCTATTAATGGGAATGGGCATTAGATTTTACTCTCATGAGAATAATAAAAGCAACTAAGAGTAACAGATGCTCCTTGACTTATAATAGGGTTACATTTCAAAAAAAATCATAAATTGAAAATACCATGGGTCAAAAATGAATTTAATACATCTAACCTACCAAACATCATAGTTTAACAAAGAGTATAATGTACAGTATTGACAGGTTGCTTCACCTTGCGATCATATGGCTGATTAGGAGCTGTGGCTCCCAGCTGCTATCCAACGTGAAAAAGAATATCATATCACATTTTCAAACCCTGGGGAAATGATTGAAATTCAAAATTTGAAGTATGATTCTACTGAATGCATATCACTTTTGCACGATTGTAAAAGTTAAACAGTTATAAACTGAACCATAATTAAGCTGGAGTTCCTCTGTACTTCTCTGAAGATGCCAATGAGTAAGGCAGCAAGCTTGCCTCACAATACAATGTGAAAACAATGACTGTGAGATTACACAGCTAGTTTGTTAAATATTCAAGAAAGCATGAATATATCTTCACTATAAAGTATTCTGCTACTATCAAACTTTATTCAAAACCTCTATGGCCCTGGCCCTAGTTCCACCAACATTAGGAAGCAAGTATCAGCAAAATGCCAAGTATAGAAACTAATAATTTAATCTAGAGGCAAGAAAGTACAAACTAAACCAAGCATGCAACAATGGCATAATAGAATAATATAAATTTTACAAAACCATATTAATTGACCAACTAGGATCTTCAAAACAAATAAAATTATTTTTCTCCATTTTAATATAAAATAACTATTGTTCCCTAGTAATCTAAATATTTGGGGAATCATTTTGATCTTTGACAAAGGGTATTTTGATGCCAAGTATAAATAAAGATAAAAGAAGTTAGTACAGAAACATTTCTCCCAAACCTAAAAATTCATTTAACTATGAAAAGGCTGTTATTTGTGGGATTAAAGTTCATGTAAACAAAAATCACATATGGTCAATTAAAAAAAAAAGATGCTGATTAAATCTGGTCATCTTGAGCTGAACTTTCCAATATGGTTGCCACTAGCCATATGTGGCTATTTAAATTTAAATTAACTTAGTTAAAAATTCAGTTCCTCACATTGTGAACCATACTTCAAGTATTCAGTAGTGTCATGTATCCAGTGGCTACCATTATTAGACAATGCAGACAGAATATTCCCCTCATCATAGAAAGTCAAATCCAATAGTGCTGATCTAGAAAGTCAAGGCTGCCATATTGTTATCACAATCTATAAAGCACATTGYCTACTTCGCCAATTCCTGACAACCACAATGTCAATGAAATGAAAATGCAATCCACCTCATTACAAAGAAGAAAACATGTTGGCAGGGCAGTCACTGGATGAAAGATGAAACAAACAAACAAACAAAAAAAGCAAAGAAGAAAACAAGCCAGCTGAGGGAGGAAATGCAGTTAAGTTAGGTAACAGAATTTATACCATTATTTAAAAACTCAAGTCAAGTCTTCTTTCATAAAATATTACACTGAAGATTTCTCTACAGTTGTGACAATTATGCTATTACTTATAAGTCATTGCTTATAATAAACTATTATTTATAGGTCAATCTAACTTTATTATGAAATTTTCAACAGTCCCTCTATTTTGTTTTAAGCAAAATGGCAAAGTAAAACTTGCCCAGACACAATTTATAGGACATAATTTAATCTATAAAATATACTAGAACTATTCAGAAGGACTTGGGAAAAGCAACATGTGATCACTGAATACTAAGAATAGGAAGAAGGGAAGTAGGAGACAGTTTTATTATCTTCCTTCTACTAAAAACGTAATGGTGTAATCAAATCAAAGCTAGTTATTCCATAGTACAGGGGGGAAAGAAAAAACAAAAAACTATGAGAGTGCCTATGCTTAGTCAAAAAGTTCTTTAGTTTTTTTCAGAAATCTTTTTTTTTTTTTGCCACTAACACACCATTCATATTTTATTTGCAAAATAGCAATGCAACATCATTTATTCCTTAATGGGCCTGACCACACTCAAGGTGAAACTTTAAGCATTCACTGAAAAATGTATCAAAGAAAAGTTACAATTACTGCCCAAACAGTCCTTTGTAACATTCAAGATGTTAATGTGTACTGTTACAAAAACTTTGAAAATGTTTACTGTGGCACCTGTTTTAAAAATAGCTAAGATCACACCATTGCCAGAAAATGCCAAACCATCATTTACAGACACAGTAAATATGACTAAACCATGCCCCCTGGAAGTGTGCTACTTAAATGTGTTCTCTATTTCAAACAGGGTCCAATTGGGATCAGGTGATCTTTAAAAATTATAATAATTTGCTATAGTCATATAAGATACAACCAAACTTGATGAAAATTTCCTTACACAAGTCAAGTGTAAAAAACACTTTTTAAATCACTTTACTTTATAGGAGAAAGAAAATAAGCTGGTTTTTGTTTGTTCRTTGGATTGTTTTTAATCTTTGAATCATGGCACGAAAGGGAAGAGAGAAAATACTTTAAAAACTCATTTTGAAGTTGACATTTTGAAATTGCATAAATCCCAGCATCTTCTGGCAAAGAAGGATGAAGTTAATTAGTTGACAACAGTAACATAAAAAGCAAATGATGAAAAGCTGATGATCTAAGTACAACTAAACTTTATGTCAGTGTACAAAAGGGGAAAAAATTATATTCAAGAGATTCAAAAACCATGAAATTCAAGATTTATCAAATACTTTTTAAGAACATAGTTATATATATTATTTTCAAAAAATATTTTTCAAAATTGCAACAGTTTTGGCATTCTAATCATTTATTTGTGTCAAAATGAGTATAAAAGACCAGTTTATGGGCTGGGGATGTGGCTCAAGCGGTAGCGCGCCATGCCTGGCATGTGTGCGGCCCGGGTTCGATCCTCAGCACCACGTACCAACAAAGATGTTGTGTCCGCCGAGAACTAAAAAATAAATATTAAAAATTCTCTCTGTCTCTCTCTCCTCTCTCACTCTCTCTTTAAAAAAAAAAAAAAAAAAGACCAGTTTATGATCATTACTAAGAGGGATCTTCAGATAGTTCAGTTTTTTTTTTTTAATTTTTTCAGTATAAGTGATACAATCAATAAGGTTTAAGCCCATGAGTAATTCATTGTCAAGGTACAACTATCCTCAGATATTATGACAGCAGAGGTTTGACTTCTGCTGAAGATCACAACAAAAGTTAATTGCACAATCCACACTTCCTGCTTCAAGTGTTACTTCCCAATTATCCCAATTATAGAAAATTCTACGTTCCATGCTGAATTATTTTAGTGCAATTATTTATTTTTATATGGGGATATTAAAATAAAAGACTATAAGATGGCTTTACTCTTTGAATGGCAATAGAAAAGTATTAAAGGCAGATGCATTAAACAGTGAAACTGGTGAAGAAGGAGATAAGGGATGTCCAAATTCTATCTCAAAAACTGGAAGGTTCTGACTAAAAATACGTAGAGATAAAGATGCTTTATCTAAAACCACTTCAATCACTTAGCTGACTAATTACTGAAAGGATTCATAGGTTACAAGCTACTTTCTGATAGAGATSTAATGCTATGCCTAGGTTCCTGGGAGAGCTCAAATGCTCTTAATAAGTTAAAAATTTAGAAGAAACTACTCAAGAGAACTCTTTTTGATGGGAAGTGTAGATTATGGGGGGAAAAGGGAATACATCTAGGAAAACCATGGGGAAAAAATGTATGCTTGAATCTCAAATAGATAGGAAAAACTGCTAGTGAGAAATTAAATTTTTAAGAAAAATGGCCAAAGTATGATAGAAATATATTATGCACCTCAGAAAAATAAAAGACATTTGCAAACATTCTGGAATACACTGAAATATTCATCAAGGTGTAAACAATTACTTAGGAATGAAATTACCATAAAAAGAAACAAACATTCAAATGGTTTTACAATACAAAAAATTCTGAAATAAATGTTTTAGTCTAGCCATGAAATCCATTTTATCTAAACATATTTCCTCTTTCTTACTTTCCATGCCAGCCAAGAACAATGCTAATATCAACATGAAAAGATTTTGTTCTATTAAAGAAATGTGGAAACACCATTTTCTGGGAGGCTAAAGAACAATCAGAATCTATTGCACAACTTCTAAACATCAATTCTGAATTAAAATAATTTCCATCTGTGCAAACAGTTTTAAAGACTTCTTTGCTTTTTCTTTAATATTTATGTTTTTAGTTTTAGGTAGACAGAATATCGTTATTTTAAATTTATGTGGTGCTGATGATTGAACTCAGTGCCTCATGCATGCTGGGAGAGCACTCTACCACTGAGCCACAACCCTAGCCCCAGACTTCTTTGCTTTTTGACAACTGCAAATAACAACAATATTATTAGCTGTATTTTGAGTTAAAGACAATTTGCATATTCTTACTAATATTTTCCACAATATCAGCAGCCATACAGTTAGGCAGACAAAATGCTTTCTAGAAACTAAATAATACTTTGGAGTCTACTACACACATACAGAAAACAATTCCTAAAAAGTACAGCATAAGGATTACTTACTTTCATAGGTAATTCCTAATCCTTTTAATCCTTTGTGAATGGAATAAAAATTA